TTTAATTGTTTTAGCATATATTTTTTAAAATTAATAATTTAAGAGTTATCAACAGAAAAATTGATTTTTTATATGGGACACCCCAGCATTTTTAATTTATTGAAAAGAATTCTAAAATTTAACACTTGATATTTGCTGATTCCTCTTCGAGATATAGAGTATATAAAATTCGCCCGCTTTCAATAAGTAGGCTTTGAACGGCACCGGCTGTAATGTAAAAAATCTAGCTATGAGCATCAATTAAAACGAAAATAATATTTGCTATGAGAGATGCAGAATTTTATAACACTTAAAATATATTTAACCGACATCAACACATTTAAACTATATCTAATAACAATAAAATAAATAGCAAACCAGGACATGAGTTTTGCTAGGTGTTCGACATATCGACCGTCTTCTGTTATGGACAGATGGGGCATGGAACATTGCGAATTCACAACTCAGTAGGGGTGAAAGATACCCTCTGATAACTGCTAAGTATTTCTAATTTTGTCTAGATTATACAGAAGAATAAGGAACCTTATTATTCCGCAAATATATCCATAGGGATTAGGTTCAGCCACTAAGTCAGGCGGCCTCGACGACCAACGGCTGGGTTCTTGGTCAGCTATTCAATTATTCTGAAATTGGCTGTAAAATTTGCTGATAACTTCAGCGTTCAGAGGCGGTGCGTCGTCTTGCTGGAAAAATAAGGTTTCGAGTTCCATATGGGCATATCATCAATGAGGGGTCCAAAGCTTCAATAGCTAAAAGTGGCGAACTTTGCAATTCTGTATTTCGAAGGGGATTATAACAAAAATATCAAGTGTGTATTTTGGAAAGGTAATTTTGAATTCTTTCAGTTACTCAAAAATATACAGGGTGTCCCGTATAAAAAATCAAATTTTCTGTTGATAATTCTAAATTATTAATTTTAAAAATTATACTTAAAAACCATTAAATTTACGTAAAAGGTGCTTTTGAAATGTTTTCATATAAAATACAAAATTTTCATACCAAAAAGTTACAGCGATTTGTTAAAAATGCATATTTTTGAAAAACACCCCGTAACTCCGAAACGGTAACAGATATCGATGTGCGGTTTTCACCATCATGTTTTTGACAAAAAATTGAACTCCAGATACCGATATTAGTTTTTGTCCATCTCCTATAGAAAAGGGTGTTTCCATTTAAAAGCGTCGAATTTGACCAACCCTGTACATACTTTAGGTTTCCACTTAAACAAAATTTCCAAGTTTTTTATCCTGGGAGCTACAGATGCCCGACGCACTATTACCTGACCCTGTACACTCACTGGCACAACAACCTAAACTGTTATTTAGGTCCACACGGAAAAAAATAATTTCTATATTCAAGAACAATCATATACTTAAAATTTTACACTTTCTTTAAGGATAGTATTCTTTCCATGAGTACAACAAATATTTGGATCTATTTTACTTTTACACTTGATTTTTAAATATAGTTATAGTCACTTCAAGTAATTTTGAATCTAAAAAAAAGAATAAAATGACTTATATTTAAGAAAAACTTATATTACTATCAAGTGAATAAAAATCATTTAGCAAAGAAGAAACTATTATTAAATGAAGTATAAATACTTTTATATAAGTATTCTTAACTTTTTAAAAACTTTTACTTGAAATCGGTGTACACTTTAAATAAGCATATTATTCACGGCGCGAGAATAACACCCCATTTCCAAAAGTCACTATTCTTATATTAAGTGACCATCCCCAACAGCAACAACGCAACGTGCATTCCTGATTCTTACCTTCATTTCATTGGATTTCTGTTTCTCTCATGCGACACGAGACGCGCTGACTAGTCGGGTAGGTTTATAAAGTTTTATTGTTATTGTTTGTGCTCGTAATATGTGAAAATGGAGGACCTTCTTCAGGCATGGGAGATGACGGATTTGATCCCAAAATTTCAAGGTAAGTTTAGCAATAATCCTACATTATTTGATGACATTGGTTGAAGGTTAGGGGAACTCCATTTTAATATGCATTATTTCGTATACACCTGTGGTAAACTAGGTATGTACGCGTTTGGAATGATCCAATTATGTTTTAACAATTTTTATTATCGTTTCTCGTTTTTAATTAGCGATGCTGCTGTTCAATATCTATCTATATTGGGAAATTACACAGTTTTATTGTATTTTATTATTACGAAAAGCATATAATTTGGTAGGTGATGTTTGGCTAATCTAATTTAAAAAGTATTAACCATATTCGGGGTTATTCTAGTGATATTTCAATATTCCATACCTATTTTAGATGGAAATTAAAATTTTTAGCATGTACCAACTCTATTATATTCACGTATGTTACCGGACAAACCCGATTTTAGGATAAACTAATTTTTCTTAGGCTAAATCAGGGTATCCAAAGAGGCGCGGGTTTGAAAAACTATTATGGCGCGGTTAAAGACTTTAGATAAAGAAAATATTTTACAATAACAAGAGTTTCTAACAAGATCGAACCCGAACCACCGAAAGCATAAGAACACGTTACCGAATTTTATGAAAACTATAATAGTTTTTTCAGTTTTAATAATAGTTTTTCGAACCCACTTAATATTCGGCCTAGAAAAAACTAATTTATTCTAAAATCGGGTTTGTTCGGTTCCGAAATAGTGCATATTAAAATGGAGTCCCCCTAACCTCCAACAAATGTTATCAAATAATGTAGGATTATTGCTAAACTTACCTACCTTGAAATTTTGGGATCAAACTGTCATCTCCCCATGCCTGAGGAAGGTCCTCCATTTTCAGATATCACAAGCACAAACGATAACAAAAAAAAACTTTATAAACTAATCATTAGACATTAACTCTTGTAACGATAGTAACTAACCTAAGAGTAAGAAGAGGCTTTATTTCAGAATAAAGTAATTATTACATGTACACACAGAATTTCTATACTTAATGCAATAATTTGTTAATTTACAAATAAGATATAAGTAGTACTCCAAACAAGATTTTATCTAGAATTGTCTGGAGTGTAGTTATAATCTTAATTTCAACACTAGGTAAATCTTAAATAAAAAATAAATTTTCTTAGCTTCTAAGGATAAGATTTTCTTGAGAAGAAATATAACTAGATTTGCGGAATGGGGAAACTAGCATATTGGTTCAAGATTAATAATCTTTAAGCCAGTTTAGCTTTTTTCCGTGCAACCGGTCTTTCGGTCCATCCGGTATACCGGTTCAGTGTCGTTTCCACCGATCTAATTGTTGGAACCGGTATACCGGTTGAAGGACTGGTACTTTGTGGTACCGGATACCAGTACTGAAATCTGTGGACCAAACATCCCTACCGCACTCGCCGCACGTATTGAGTTTTTTTTCTTTGTCGCGCACACTGAAGATATGTCCTGAATGCGCCGCACGCACCGGCATTATTCGCTCTTTTGTTTATTTTTGCCCTTACTACACCCGTATTTGCCAATCAAATTTCTCATCAGTCGCTTCCGGAGTCCTGTCTGCAGTGATAAGTGTATTTTTGGCTTTTTTGGCATTTGTCGACAATGAATGACAACGAACAAGAAATAATTATGAGCTCTCTTCGTAATAGAAGAAGAAATCAACGAAGAAAAAGAATCGAAAGTTATGGCTTCCACAATATTTGCAAAAATTTACCTTTTAGGGGGAAATTCTACACATTATTTCCATATTTAAAATTGACGAAAGAACATTTTTCAATACCTCAAAATGAGCCATGAAAAATTTGCGAACTTTTCTTAGAATATTGAATTTCTAATCTCCTCTTCGGCTAGTTCGATTCCGCTACCCGCGTAGAGTGGAAGGAATTGAGTGTGACGTCAGCAGCACTAGCCACACTGACCGAAAATTATTCTGGCCCAACAATGCTGGCCGCATTTTCGTCGATACGATTCGTGCGGATCTGGCTAGTGTGCTCACCTTCATTGAAAGTAATAATCATCTGGGGAGATAATATTTGACCTTTTCAAAAATTTCCGAATCACCTACCTACCGAGGCAATTTGGTTATCAGAATATATTGACGAAAATATATCCCAAACCGGTATAATGTTTGCCGCCAAGTATAAAGGCACTATTTCTATTTTTATGCATGTGTAAACATATTAAATTAAGTTTATTTATGACTATTAATTTTATTTGCAGTAAAATATCGAAAAGCAATGAAAAAAATTGGGCATTATTTTAAAATAAAGAAGTAGCGCTTTGATATGGGCATTTAAAATGGATGTATTCTTGGTTGCATCTGAACCATAAAAATCCAATTTAATTGCTTTCATTTTAATGCTTTAATAATAGCACTGTAATAGCAGAATAGCGTTGTACTGTAAACTGTTTCACAGTTAAAATAAAAAGTAGGACGTCATGATATAGAAAAAAGTTTCAATGAGAAATGTGGTTCATAACTCTATTTCTACGTCATTCAAAAAACTATCTTGATTTTAGAAAGCCTAATAATATTTTTTTTCTATTTTTCACATGAATAGCCAAACTTTTTGAGGCAACAAAAAATACATCTTTGTGATTTTTTAAATTATATAAGTATATTTTATTTTTACATTTAAGATTAACTGCATGTAGAATTTTGCACCCAAATTTAAATCAAGAATATTGCACTATGTATATTAAGTTTTATTTGTTAAAAATTCTATTTTTTACAAATTTGCAGCACCACATTTTGACTGGCTAGTAAATGAGTTTTTATACGATATATAAATATAGTTAGATGTAGTATAACCCAGACTCTGAGACAACTGGTCATTATCATTGATAATTTATTAACTGCGAGTATATTGTATTACACGATTTAATATTAGCTTTGAAGCAACACAATTTTGCTGCCTGTTGCACGATTGCCTCACCCGCTGTAGAACATTCATATATTTATCATAAATATTTTTTGCAGGACCATGACATCCTTGTGTTTTGTTTTGTGTCCTACCAATCCTTTCCTCCCATCAACAAGTGGGGTCTTGTGGCAGGGAGGAAACGGCTGGGATGACTTAGTGAGAGAGCAGGTAAACATTTTTATATGTTTTTATTTTATATTGTATAAGGGAGTCTTTTAGATATGAACAGATATTTTAAAGGTAGAAAAAACTATATTTAAGGTGGGTGGACCATGGAAGACCACTGTAACAAATAAACAGTTCATATTAGTTCATTTACTGGATAAATAAAAGAAACAAATTATTAATTAAGACTTTGTTTTATTATGTAACTAGATTATTGTATTATGTTATTGTATTACATCTAGAATAAAAAAAGTAATATACTCTTACGTTTTTCGTCGTTCCCGTGTGGATAGAAAGTGTAATTTATTTAAACACAATTTATTTTACACTAAGTAAAAAAACAATAACGATAAAACTATTAAAGAACTATTTACAACTTATTTACTATTTATCTATGGGGAAATTAAAATAACTTTAGTTGCACATCATAATACGATCACCAGCAAACTCCATAAGATGACGCATGGTGTCACTGATGATGTGCAACGAAAATTGTTTTAATTTCCCTTTAACTATTTATCTAAAAGGAATTTATTTTGAATTTAGCGCGATAACTGTACGCGTCGACCGATTGTTTCTGTCCTCAGGCCCCAGGCATCGCGTCGTTTTATGTATGAGAGAAACAGACAGTCTAGATCTTACTCGAATTTTTCTGTTTACGTCTGGTCGCCGTTCTCTGTTTCTCCAGATTATTCGCTCTCGAATAGGAGCGAGCATAATACTCAGGTTAGGCCGTGTCTACACGGGTCTGCAACACTGTCCCCTTCTTAGATACATTTTCATCTCGTACACGGTGAATGAAGATATTTGCAAAGCTGGCCTCTGGTACATTGGGAAATCTGGTAGAAATAGCAGTCTACAGTTTTCTCACCTGATCGTAGCTTTGGGTTGTAGCAGCAAACAAGGATTTCGATTTTCGTAAATCTAAACAAGACTTCAATCATGTTCCGGATTGTACGCCAACTTAAACCATCGAGACCACACGCCAGCTTCGGAATGGCTAATCGTGTAATGTTGTTGTTTAGCAGGGCTTCTCTCAGTTCAATCAGGGTCTTCCACAGATTGAGATAAGTTGGCTTACTCGGTGACCATTCTTTGGTGACCAGGTAGAAGATGTGTCTTGCTTGACCATGCACATTGTCGGTTAGCCTCAAGACTGGATCCTGTCGGCGTAGTTCTCCGACACTCCCAAAGTTTTCATTGAACGTCGCAACTAGTCTTCTGGACATTCGCAAATCTCGGGCCACACAGTGAGCGAGCGAATAATCAGGAGGCACGGAAAAGAGGTTCTGTTGTTATTCTTTGGTTACACTATAGCGAACCTTCTGACTGATGTTGTAACGGGCCATGAAGTCGTCAAAGGACATCTCTGAATCAGAGGGATCAAAGCTGCAGGTTCTCACGGTCCAAGCACGATCTTCTATTTCGCCTTGGTAGGGGATCAAACGATTGAAATGGACGATCCTCGTGGACTACTTGCTCTCGAATGGGGGCGGGCTTATTAGTCAGGTTAGGGCGAGTCCACACGGGTGCGCAACAATATATTACTTTTTCTTTATTGTAGATGTAATCACTATTTAACAAACTTAACTTTTATTAAGCTCTTCCAAACGGCCTTACAAGGAACAAGGCCAATATTATAAATCAGTTGTTCAACTTAAAACTAGAGTTGTGATAATCAAAATATCCGCTTTTACTAAAACTACATAAAAAGCTCCTTTCATTTAAACGAAAAATAAATGCTTAACATATGTACTTTAAAAAAACTCAACGAACATTCCTTAAACACGATCGTATAATTAAGAATCGCCTAACTAAGAATACATTATGGAAATGATTTAAAAATTATGGTAATAAATATTATATTGATAACAAATAACTTGCCAATGCGTTATAGAATTAAATTACAAATACCTATAATGGCCTTCTCATGGGTTTATTCTTTGTAAGACAAAAATGTTTTTTAGCTAAAAAGCCAAACCAAACCAAACAACCCTTATAAATAATATTATAAACAAAAAATATTGTTTCAACATTCCCAGTACGTATTTATAACTAAAAATTAAGTGTTCATATTTTGATGTTCTTAGTAAGTCTCCTCCTAGTAAGATTAAAGGTTCCTAGTAAGGCCAATGTACAGCCAAGGCCCATGAACAGCAAGGCCAATCGTCAAATTTTTGATTAGCCTTATAACGAACTACCGGCTTTCATAGGAACACTACCGATATTGTAACTGAAATAAAAACAAATTCTACATTGTACAAATCAAAGGTACAAATTAAAATATATAGGAAATTTAAATTGGGATCTTTGAAAGGACTTTTCCACTGCAATCAGAACACCAAGAAGCACTTTTATTTATTTAAAAAAAAACTTATCCGAGAGACTAACCAACGTTTAGAACGTTTAGACGTTAAAACAAATGTAAATTAGTAAAAACCAAACCAACCCCACCAAATAGCTAACCTAACCAAAGCAATCAACCCCACCAAATAACCAACTTAACGAACGCAACTAACTCCACCAAAAAGAGTGAAACCAACGCAATTAAAGTAAACGTCTTCTGTTTAGCTGACAATTGAAAATCGTGAAATTAAGTAACAACGAACGGCAACACTGTCAGGTGCCAGAGTAGACTAGCCGTTCGTAGACGCTAGTACAAAATAGCGACGCGACCGACTCGCCACCGCGTCTGTGTCCTTGAGTTTAATGTAGCTTAGCATGAGTGGAAGGAAGTTGTCATCACATGTCAATAACTAACTTTTATAGCTGGCCTTCAAACGACCATGGCCTTCCATGGTACCCCAACCTTATTTGCCATATTTAAAATTCGTTGAACATGGTCAGAGTTATTTCACTTTGAATTTAAACATGTTTCAAGAAACATTTTTAAGTAAGTAAGTTGTTCTTAAATATTTTGATTATGCTTAACCTTTCGATGTGAATTTAATAATATATCTAACAAAAAATTTGTACTTGTATTAAAAATCTACTTTGTTTTTAACTACATTATTTAACAAAATGGTTTGATTTCGTAATTTTAATAAAATCGTTCGTAGTAAAGCATGTGCAGCGTCGAGAAACAATTTGCAACTGACTCAGGGAAATGTGCTTATCTTCGTTGACGTGGCGGTATTCTTGAAAGTTGTGAATCTTGTTAAATTAAATTAATCTTGTCATTAAAGAAATAGTGTGAGTTTTTTCTAAAATTATTAGCAATTCATGCTAATATGAATATTTTCATATTTTTTTCGTGTAAAAAAACTCATAGGCGTGTTTCTGGGGTTGAACTATACACCCAGTTAACATACTTGCACTGATTTCTGGGACACCCTGTATATAAAATAAAGAAAAATACAACATGGAATTTTGGAAACCATTTCCACATTTTGGCGGAAAGTAATTTAAAGTAATATATGAAAAAATGAGAATCATAGATTTTTCAGTTATGAACATTTTTGTAAGATAAAAACACCAAATACAACATGGAATTTTGGAAAACGTTTCCACTTTTTGGCGGAAAGTCATTAACATGAATCATCTTCATTAAAGTAATATATGAAAAAATGCGAATCATAGATTCTTCAGTAATGACCATTTTTGTAAGATAAAAAAATCCAAATACTGGTTTTGGAATAAACTTAATGTATTATTTTACTTTAATTTATTCAAAGTGTTTGGAGAACACATTTCCACTTGGCGGAAATTCATTTAAAGTAATATTTAAGAAAATGTAAATCATAAATTTTTCAGTTTAATAAACATTTTTGTAAGATAATAAATATAAGTGTATATATTTTTGTAACATAATAAACATTTTTGTAAGATTAAAATACCAAATACTAGTTTTGAAATAAACTTAATGTTACTTGCTTTAATTTATTCAAAGTTTTTGGAAAATACATTTTCACTTGGCGGAAACCCATTTAAAGTAATATATGAGAAAATGTGAATTTTTCAGTTATGAACATTTTGTAAGATAAAAACACCAAATACAACATGGAATTTTGGAAAACGTTTATACTTGTTGGCGGAAAGCCATTTAAAGTAATATATGAGAAAATATCAATCATAGATTTTTCAGTTATGAACATTTTTGTAAGATAAAAGCACCAAGTACAACATGGAATTTTGGAAAACATTTCCACTTGTTGGCGGAAAGTCATTTAAAATAATATATGAGTAAAAGCGAATCATAGATACTTCATCAATATTTTTGTAAGATAAAAACACCAAATACTAGTTTTGGAGGGTATATGGATGGAATGGTATACGTACCATTATGGTACGTATGCATTGGCGCGCTGCGCCGCGCACCGATTCACCTCTGTTGGTACGTCTTTCCAAGTTGCGCGCACTCTGCGTAGCGCAGCGCACCAATGTATACGTACCATTATACTGTCGTCACCGCTCCCGCTGTACCGCTTTGGTCTGGGTAATCGTGCAATTTTGGCCTCGCGAAATATTTCGCGTCGCTCCCGCCGTATCGCGTTGGTCTGGGGTATCCTTAACCCTCCGGAGGTCGCGAGCGGACTCACAGTCCGCAGATACCTATTTTCCCCGATAATTCGAAAATCTGGAAAATCAAATGCTGAGCCGCTGAGTATCTTCCTGTCTCTGTACATTTTATGAGAAGTGTACATTTGCACATCGCTTAGGATAATTAGCATCTTTTTTATACTCATATGCGGAGTGTCAGTCCGCGCGCGACCGTTTGTGATACGATTTTGACATCAATAATTTTATAATGTCGAACAAGGTAAATTATTCTACTAATTTGCATTAATTGAAAATGAGCAAATTGTGATAAAAAGTGAATAATCGACTTTATAATTAAATAAGTATTATTTTTTATATGTAACCTGCAAGAAAGATTGCAACAGGTTCATGCAAGACTATTTGAATGAAGATGACGAATTAACTACTGAACATGACGATGAAAAGGAAGAACGAGAAAAGGATATTATAGAAAGCAAGAGCCCAAAATAAATTCTAATACAGAA